TTTTTTTTTTTTTTTTTTTTTTTTTTTTTTTTTGATATGGACAACTACCAGTGGAAGGTATTAGCAGTGATCCAAACACTAGGATGCAGCAAAGTGCTTGGGTAAAAGCCCGGCTCACAGGCACTTCTGCAGTGAGCACTGGGATCAGATCCATAGGCCAGTGAAGTTTCTACCTGTCTGTGGCCCAAGCACTGCTTTAGTTCTTCACTTTACACTCGATTTGCTTGATTGGTTTCACAAAAGCAGTGGAAGAGGGGAAAACCTGGACTGGAATTGCTTTCTGATCCCAAGTTCAAAGCATCTCACCAAATCTGGGGCTGCTCAAGCACAATTTTTTCCCAGAGAATGGCATCCTCTAGAAGATCTAGGCAACACTGCAGATCCGAGATCACATAAACACATCACCTCAATTTAAATGTATTCTTTCCACATTCATCACAATTACATGTGCCTGTAGATCCTTTCCAAATTGGTGTTCCCCAAAACTCTTTTAGTCAAAGAGTACTTGGTCAGCCAGCTCCCTAGCCATGGAGCACTGTTGGTAGCCCTTTAGTAGGATGTATGCTGATAATCTTTAGGAAGGATTGTAATCCCACTGAGAGTTTCCCGTTGGTGATTGCACATCAGCCAGGACAAGTAGTTCCCAGACTTTTTAAAGGGATGCAGCTGATTTCTACCAGTGAAAAACCATATTAGAGTCTTCACCTCTGATTAATGGCTGTCAGTCAGGGTACTGACATCCATACAGATATTGCATATTGTATTTGAAAAGTATCTGAGTGTCTCAGCAGTGAGTACTGAGATGAGATCCACAGGCCTGGAATGTTTCTACCTGCCTAGTGCCAAAGCATTGCCTTAGTTTTCCTTCATTTTACACTAGTTTTGCTTGATTGGCTTTACAAAAGCAAAAGCAGTCAAGAGATGTCAAAAGTAAGCAGCCTGACCTGCTCATACATCCTGGTTTTATACTAAGACTTTCTGGTATCTGGAATAGTTGCCTGGCTTCCTTTAACACGTTGGGAACATCCATCAGTGTTCTATCATGTACATCCTTCTGGGGTAAGGTTTGACATCCGAGAGAAAAGGGTGCTACTTTCACTCATAAGGTCAAGAAGTTCATAGCCCCACCTGCTGTAGGCTTTGCTGCAGTGAGGGAAAACGGATTCCCTGTCCACCTGCAAAAACAGTCTCTTGGACTTGAAGAATGTCCTCAATCAGAGATGGAGATCCTTGAGGAACTGACCACCAGACTGCCAAACGTTATCAAGACTGACTACAGCACATCTCAGACAAGGACTGGGAGCTACATTACATAGTGCATTTATGCCTATCCTTTGAGCACATTTCAGTCTGAGGTGTGGAGATTTCAAAGGACCCATATTTAGAAGTAAATCACAGAGAGGTTCATCCTCTCCACATCTGCCCAAACCACAGGCACAAGTGAGGGAGTTTTGTAGTTCTGTATCACCTGCATATGCCAAATGAGAGACTTTGTTCTATATATAGAAATGCAATTGATAGGTTGCATTGCTTCAAGGACAACAGGTTTTATAAAAATTGCTTAAGGTTTATCTTTTCAGGTATTTTGAATACTCCTTGAAATATCCCATAACATTGTTGTCATAGTTCTGATTTTAGCAAGGAATTTTTTCTTTCCCTTCCCCCCCCCCCCCCCCCCCCCCGCGCGTATGCTCTGTGGATTAGCTATCAGGTAAAACAAAAGAATTGGCCTCCTCCACTAAATGGCCAAGACATTAGTCGCCTAGCAACGAAGGGGGAGGAATTGGGGAAAGGCTAGGGTGTGTGTGTGGAAAGAGGTGGGGTTTGAGGGTTGGAGCTCAGCTCGGGGGGTTGGAGCTCAGCTCGGGAGCCGGAGGGGAGGCTGCAGCAAGCGGGAGAGACTGCCTGGTTTCTTCTTTGTCCTTTCCTGTCGGAGGAGAGTTTTTACTGCTGTTCTCTGCTCAGCTGTTGCTAGCTGCAGGCCTGGCTCACCGCGAAATCCTCACCAACTGAAAATCGTGAGTTTTCTTCCATTGGGAGAACTCTCTGTTTCCCTCCCCCTTCCCTCCTCCTCCCCCACCACCTGGTGACAACCAAGGATCTCACAGCACCGCCTGGTAACGGGTACTGGACATTACAAGTTCTACTCCTCCAGTGATCCAACAGCGTCACCTGGTGACTACTATAGGACACTAAAAGTTCTGCACCTTTGATAACTCAACAGCGCCACCTGGTGAACGGTATAAGACATTACAAATTTTGCATCTCCAGTGACCCGACGGCACCCCCTGCTGACTGTAGCTGGAACTGCACCAAAGGGTGCTAAAAATTGAACTATTTAATTTCCCTTGTGCCAGTTTATCGGTTTTGTTCTTGAAGGGGATTATTGGTGGGTATAGGGGTATTGCTTGGTTGTTTTACTTGGGTTTTTTTTTATCGTGTTCCTGTTAATACACACATACCTTTTAATAAAGGGCTGTTATTTTTTCTTTCCCTTTTCCATAATTTGTTTTTCCTTCAATCAGAGCCTCTTAATTTCGGATTTATAATTGCTTAGAAAAGGAAGTTTGGGTCTCTTTCTCCTAATCCATCCTCAGCAAAAGACCTTTGTCTCATTTAAACTGGGACAATTGTGGTTAGCAAAGAGAAGAAAAGGAGGGAAGAAAAAGACTGAAAAGTATTCTGGAATAGAAAGACAGTTAATCATTCAGGTTGTCCACAGTTCCCTCAGCCCACGAAAGTCTCAGTTCAGACTCCTGCTTTTCAGTAAGAAAAAAAAAAACTTCCTCTATTGTCCTACCATCTCTCCTCTACAATGTATGATGGAATCCAGAGTCACAAGCTGCCACGACTTCACAGGCAGTTCATTTCATGTCTTCCTGACACCCCATGGGAAGCTTTTTTCCCTAAAGCAAAGAATCTCACAATATCATTTTGTGTAACATTCTTTACATATTTTGACTTACACTCCCAAAGCATATTTATATCAGTCAGACTGTGCACATGCAGGTTTTGGGGGATTGATGAGGTTTAGAATTTTTCAGCTTTTTCCTCAGCTTGATATTCTGCACTCTTCCTGGAGCTTTCTGATTAAAGATTCTGCTTTGTAATGAAAGCAAACCAAGTACTTCAGTGTTGAAAGAAAGAGCAAAAAGAGGCAGTCAAAACATGTGATGATTCTTATTTTCCTTTCAAGAGTGACAAAACAGCATATGCAATTCAATACCCGGGACCAGTTAATTTTATCTGAAAAAGAAGCTTTTGTAAGTTAACACTTGCTATGATTATCATCCACATAATGCTCATTTCCTATGCAAAGCCACCATGGTGCCCACGAGTCACCTTCATATTTTGGGAATATGGGCATGGGGCAACATAGGTCACCAGTTTTCACAGCCTTTGTTTTATTTTACAATACATTCAAGATTCTCTGTACTTTCAATGGCAAATACATCACGCTTGATTGGCAATGCTGGTATCTGATATTCCATGATTACCTTGGCTTGAAAGTGAGACAGTAATGCATATTCGTGTTACTCTCCCTTTAATGTAGTACAAAGCTGGACACAGCTCAGAAATAAACCCCTAAAATCCATTACCTATTTATGATCATGTACAAACTGAGATTTATCATGTTAAAAGAGAACCATATGTTAAAGTGGAGGCTAGAGACCAATAAATCTTTTTGGATGAAAACCCTTTTCAAAAAAAGGAATAAAATAATTAACATTTGCTTTTGCCAGCAGAAACATTTGCTCATGAATCCCCTGGGAAGGGAAGGGCATTTAACCTTTTTACATGCCATCCCCTCAGACATCTCTGACCCCACTGAGAAAGAGACAACAAAAGATTCCCGACTCCATGCTGCTGATTAAACCCCTTGTAAGAAACATCTGGATGAAATTTTCTTGGCAGTCGATTTGAAAAGTACACAAGAAGCAGAACTAGGGAGCAGCCATAGTTCAGCCGAGTGACACAAAGATGATGCTATGCAAAAGCAGATTTTTCCTTGAGCACATTAACTCCTGAATATTAGCCTGAGACTGTGCAAGCAACCTCATTAGCAGAAGAAAAATAAATCCCTCTTCTACTCTGTGCGCCAGTGTAGAGAAGGCAAACAGGCTTCGGAAAAAAGCCAACTCAACAGACTTGTTTCTTTTAATAAAATAACAAAGGGCTTAAATAGTTTACCTGCCTAATACTTAACTTCAGTTGACAGGTAAGACAGAAGTTGTCAGTGGCCATAACTTCCAAAAACCATTAAATTTTTGGAGGATTTCAAAACTTCCGTGGTTTCTGAGAAACTCCCCAAAACCCTGGATATAATGCTTTCCTACTTACTGTCTCAGACCATACAGCCCCAGCCTAAATTAGCAAAAATAACCTCTAATTTTCATAGCCTGACATTCAAAAGGAAATCCTGGCCCTCAGCTGCTTGAATTTAAAGAGCCTGTCAATGTAGCTCAAAAGATTGTTCCCTTTTGGAAATACAGACCCTGGAACTCTCACAGTTTTCCTATTTACAACAGGCCTAAAAGTGAGAAATTTTCACTGTTGCTATTAATTGAGTAGCACCAGTGAAAAACCTACCTGAACCAGCCCAACTTTACTCTGCAGCTGCTATGTTGGGAAAACAAACAAACAAACAAAAGAAGCAGCAGCAGAAAAAGCATCTGAGTCTGACACAAAGGTGCAGAAAAAAGGAAAGCAGTGAGGAACCTTCTGCTCCACAGCTGCCAGGCTAGGAAAATTCCAGAAGGAACACACAGATACACTTCGTCTTTTCCAGAAGCCAAGGTATAGAGTGCTCAGACTCCACCAGAATTACTCTGACACATAAAAATGAAAGCTTCAGCACTGCCCAGGGTTACGTTTATTGTAGTTGTGAAAAACTTCATGGGGTATGGAAAGGACTTTAAACTTTTCATTTGGGACACTGCTATAAAGAAGCAGATTATCGGTATGTGTTTAAACTTGCCTGGTAAATATTTTTAAGTCATAAAGAAATTAACATGTAGAAACAAAATCTGGTCTAAACATTTTATCTCCCATCCAAACTTCACATTCTAATGCACCCCTATTGATTTTCGCTACACCACCTCAATCCCAATAGATCTAAAAGAGGGGCACCTATTCAAACTGGTACTGCTATCACTTTCTCACTAAATGAACTTATCCACAAACACCTTGTTATATAGAATTGTTTAGGTTGGAAAAGACCTCTAAGATCATCAGGTACAACTGTTAACCCAGCACTGCCGCGTTCACTGTTAAACCGTGTCGCTAAGTGCTACATCCACATGTTTAAACACTTCCAGGGATGTTGATTCCAACACTTCCCTGGGCAGCCTGTTCCACTGTCTGGCCACCCTTTCAGAGAATAAATTTTTTTTCTAATATCTAATCTAAACCTCCACTGGCGGAGGCAGTCTTTGAAATATGGGAAAAAATATGTCAGATAAAAGAAATTTCAGCATGGGACAAGAACAGCCATCTGGAATGCAGACCAGAAATACAATCACAGAAGTGTAGCAATAAGAATTAAGTTTGAAGCTTAATTCTGAAGTGTTTCTTCTATCAAAATAAATAAAATATTGCAAATATTTTGTACCACACTGTAATACCACTGGAATGGTAATGAATGAATAAAATCAGAAAAGAGGTTTATAGAATCCAAAGTAAAACCCAATATTCATCAATAATAGTGGAAATAAGAAGCTGTCATGTAGAACATCTACATGTGACAGCCCCACCACTTGTCCAGGCAGGAGGTAACATGGATGCAGATTTTAGAGCAGCCACCTGCCAGGTCTGCCATTTTACCTCCAGCCAGTTGAACTCATGGCTAAGAGAAATACTTTAAGACTCCTGCATCAAGGGAAAATCTGCAATTTTGTTACAACCCTTCCATGTAACCAGTGAATGCTTTGCAACTCCCTCTGCACATTTGGTCTGCACCAAATAGGGAAGATGCTGCAATATTCTGAATCCAGCAATGTGTGTGAAACCAACGAACAGTTAAACTGAGCAGTTAAAAGCAGGTGACTGGAAAACATGGAACCAAGGCTTACAGTGTATCGAGAAATGTCCTTACACTTAAAAAATTATAATGCACTCCAAAATCCATTTGTTCAGGCAATCCATGTACAACAGAAGGCACTGTTATCCATATGAATCTATCAATTCTGCACAGCAAAAACCTGAGAAGTGCAACTCAATTAGATGCAGCCTGGCCCCTCCCAGTCAGTCAGGTTCCTTGAGGACAAACATTTCCTTTCAGTCCATCAAATTATAAAAACACCACAAAAATTTGTACATTACAGTAGCTGGTTAGAAAGAACATTCTGGTGGGGGAAGCACACTGCTAATTTCCAGAAAACCTTCAGCAGCATTAAATTACCCTCCCCTATCACCCAGAAGTCACGATGATTTCAAGAAAATGTAATGATGAGACCATTCCCATTGACCTTTGTAGCTGATCCTTCAGTTGCCACCGGGAATACTTCCAGCAAAGTTAAATGATGTGATCAGTCCTTTGTTGTCAAATGCGTATCCACTTTGTTGTTCTATTGTCTTAGTCTCTAGAATTCAAAGAAGAAAAATAATATGAAAAATAGTCTATAGAGAAGACCTTTGCCAGAGACAACACAGCTCAGCTAAGAATGCAAAGCTGCAGAAAAAACTCTCAGTTGAGTCCAAATTTCATTCCCTAAATGCAGTGACGGGAATAAATTACACACGGATTTTCTCTAAATGCATAAATGTGCACACCTCTACAGCTGAGCTGAGAAATTAATCCTCTACTGTTACACTGTTCTGCATTCCTTTTGATTAAACCTGAATTTATTTTCCACGATGCAAGATTTCTACACATCTAAAACCTCACACTGACAGCAGTGTTAGCAGTTAAAAAGTTACAAAACTGTTAAACACATTATGATCGACAGCAGTCTTCATCAAATGCCTGGCTGACAGCTAGATACCACCTTAATGTGCTCTTCGTTTCAAATGTCAGATTGTGCAAAACTAGTTCATACCCTGTTCAAACAGCAGCATGAGAAGGCAATTAATTAGAAGCAACAGTACTCTCTGAATAACACACACTTCCAGGCAAGCAATAATGTGAGCATAATATCCTACTCACGCTTCTTAGAAAATGTTAATTAGCCCAGAGGTCTATTCTCTTTGTTGCTACAGATCAGATGCAGTTCCAACGTCCCTGCAACACATAAAATGGCCCCAGAGAAGTGACTCACCTGCAGCAGTTCGCCGGTGTTCTGCTAATGTATAAATTTCCTGCAGCTGTTTCTTCTGATCCTCACTCAGTGGTGCTGTCAGGGAATGGTACCAGGCTGCATCCCGGCTCTGCACCGCTGTCAGAACAGGGATGGACGAAAAGTGATTGTCAGGTACAACAGAATGAAACATGTCGAATTTCTGGTTGGTTTTGAAACGGAATTTGCACTGCAAAACAGGCTCAAGTATTCCTGTCAGTTTTCTTAGCACAGAATCCCCACTCTAACAGAGGCAATCCATTTTGGGGGAACTTAATTACATCCTCTCCTTTCTGGAACAGAGAGTTAGCCATGTGGCCATTATTCATGAACAATGTGAGCTGAATATTCTAATTTAAAATTCATATGAAAACTAAAAGCAACAGCATAATTTCTCCATTACGATTTCAACACCTAGAAGGTGATAAATATTTCTACATATAGGAGTCCCTCTAGTGACCGAGGCCCACTTAATTAGGCTGTGATCGAAAAGTTCTGAAGGAGAACATGCAGAGAATTAATTTCTGAATGTATTTGCTACCATTTGTTTTTTCAGCACTAGTAAGCCAAAAAAATCTTAGCACTGGCATTAGAAAGCAAGACCATATTTTCCAGTTTCAGTTATCGAAATTATTTTTTGTAACAAAGAAAAGGGTTTTTAACGGTGGTGACCATAAACATCTCCAAATGATTTCATGTTACATCATCCTGCCAATCAGAAAACACGTACTTAGAAGTGCTTGTGTAAAAAACTGGTATTCATCAACACCATTTTCAAGGTCAAGAGGTGTGCTGAACCCTTCAAGAGCAGTCTCTTCCAATGCATCTTCATCCCAGTCATCATCATCATCATCATCATCATCCTCTTCCTCTCCACCTCCACCACCACCTCCTCCTTCTCCACCATGGTTGTCTTGCATCGCTTGGCTCACTTCATTTGTCTCATCCTCATCACTCGGTATCTCTTCTGGAAAAGCATTGATATACTTTGTAAAACAAAGTTTAAAAACTATAAGGAAACAGTGACTTAAAAATCAAAACCGATTAATAAATCTAGGTTTTGACTGGAAATGGGACTCTCTTAACACCCTTTCCCCAAAATCTTAAAAGCCCTGGAAAAATGAAGCTGTTAAAATGTTTCCTATATTCCATATCAGTTAAACTTTTGTTTCTGTGCAGACTTGAGAAATGTGAAACTGCCATCTTTCTTCTTCTTTCATTTATGCAGTCACTGTGCAATTACAGTATCCAAAAATTTTGAGGAAATGTCTTCGATGAAGTGGTCTGTCACTGTGCTTTTTAAATTACAGAGACCTCACAAATAGACACAAAACCATGAGAAAACCAGCTGCAGACCAATTGTCTGCCTGTTATTCTTCAGAGTGCTCCCTTATTTGAACAAACTTAAACCAGTGCCTCTTGTTTTTCTTTACCTTCCATTCCACTTAGAAACTATTACACCCTGAATTAAATGCAACTACAACATGAGATTCTAAATGCTATTTCTTACTTAAGGAAAAGTATTTCTGACTTATAATCAAGATGGAAAAATTACCCCCCCAAATTCCAAACCTTTAGCCTTTCCTCTGTTAACAGTAAAGATGACTACATATGCAGCACGCAGAGACTAAATCACAGGAGAGAGATTTGAAAATGACTGTGCTTTCTCCATACTGTATTCCTATACGTCGAGAAGAATTCTGTGATTCCATTACAGAAAAATCATGTGTGAAATTTCAGTGGATCACATAATCTGGTCACATCCGATCTAATTTTCAGACCTCAAACCCTCTATCTACTATTCCATGTCAAAGAGATTTTCCTGCAACGCTGTGTATGATTCCTCCCCACAATTCCCTCTGCAAGACATTCTTTGGTGTTTTTTCTTTTCTGGCAGTTAGGGGCCTGTCTACTCAGCTGTCTCAAACACTGTGTTGCAAATAACTTTCCATTTGGACAAATAGGTCCTGCTAGGATTTCCTCTGAAATTCAACCAAACATGGTTTTCAAATAGTTGGATACTAGGAACAGCTTCTTTCCAGGGAGTAAGAATATAACCAGTGGAGTCCAGGCAAGCTGGAAGAGTGGACTTGCAAGTTACTCTTAAACCAATACTACCCTTTCACAAAACGTTAGCTGTCATATACTGAAACGTTTTCAATACATTTTGGCAAGAAAAATCAATTCCTAAGATGACCTTTCA